TACTGGTAAGACACAAAAGATTACCATCACCAACGATAAAGGTAGATTGTCCAAGGAAGATATTGAAAGAATGGTTAACGAAGCCGAGAAGTACAAGGAAGACGATGAAAAGGAAGCCTCTAGAGTCCAAGCCAAGAACCAATTGGAATCATACGCTTACTCATTGAAGAACACCATCAATGACGGTGAATTGAAGGACAAGATTTCCGAAGAGGACAAGGAGAAGTTGTCCAAGGCTATTGAGGAGACTGTTACTTGGTTGGATGGATCTCATTCAGCCTCCACTGATGAGTACACTGACAAGCAAAAGGAATTGGAGTCAGTTGCTAACCCAATCATTAGTGGAGCTTATGGCGGTGCTGCTGGTGGTGCCCCAGGTGCTGGTGCTGGAGGATTCCCAGGTGGAGCTCCAGGCGGTGCCCCAGGTGGTGACGCAGGCGGTGCATCAGGTGGTCCAACTGTTGAAGAAGTTGATTAGAGGGATCAATAGTACATATATGTTTTGTATAAAATTTATAAATCTTTTCGTATAACATTAGAAGTATCTGCGTAAGAGCTCTGCCACTAGACAGAACAAACAAGCAAAAGTCCAATTACCAATCAAGATAATTCCAATGTGCCTGTCCAACTTCCAGGAGTTTCTGGGAACCTTGACACAGAGAACTACCATGTTACTGAATAAAACAACAATTGCAACAAGGACGGGTGATGTCAATGTCAACGTGTGGTTGCCGCCGATTATCAACCCACTGAATCCAAAGGAGCACAATGCCATCAATGGACTTCCAAAACAGGCAGCAAATGCCATAACAGGGAACCCCATTTGGGCAATTGTGTAATTGGTTATGAAATCACCTACTGAATTGCCCAATGCGAAAAGGGTGATACCTAGAAAATCATCGCTAAGGCGGTAGGCAGTTGACACAACTTGCAAGATGTTGATGATTTCGGTAGCGATGATTGATACCCAGGTGATTGATGCAACGAGGCCAAATATGGCGACAAAGTAATTTATTGCTGACATACGTTGAGGGAAGTTGCTTGAGGAAGTTGACGTTGGGTATAGTCTGAAAATGGCATAAGCTAGACCTAAGCTAGCTATGGAATGGAAAATAAGCTTCCAAATGAAATGCATGTGGGTATTTACCAGGAGGAAAATGAAGCAGCCGATGCCTGTTTGAACCACGAGTTGAATCTTTTCCTTCGAATAGTTAAATACATTATGGGCTGTGTTCGGTTTGTAATCTTGTTCGATTGTGAGCATGTTTGCATGGGTCCTGACAGGCGTTGATACTTTCACAATTAGTGATATTGGTAGCAAGAGCAAAAGCCTGAGTTTTTCACCAATTGGTTTGTCTCTGAAACGGGAAAGCTGGGGACAAAACAAATTTACAAGCTGCTCGTGCGGGGTCTCTTCTTGGTGGGCAATTTCTTCCGGCTCTACACCCCGAAGAGACGTCATTAGTTGTCTTTCGGTGTCTAATTGTATCGCTCCTCCCAAATTGGAATGCAATGATAGGTCTTCCATCAATTTCCGCAATCCGAAATTCCCCGTAGAGTTTGTGTTATAGCCCAAAGTTTCTCTTACATTGATATCATCAATGGTTGGTAATTGCGATACGCCATCGAGATAGATTTCATCAATGACCACTTCATCATCAGGTACATCTCCAAATTCACCTCGCGATCGTCTTTCTCTTAAAATTGCTTTGACTCGTGACTGTTGTCTTTTGTGGGAATAAACTGCCACTGATACGTAGCATATGTAAACACCAATCAATGTTATTGCAATGAATTTGGACAATTTGCCCACAATTAAACTCAACAAGATCAATGTGTAGACCGTGAAATACATTGCTACATCACGTTTGAATAAAACTTGTGGCACTTCAAATGGCTTGATGATCCCAATACACCCAATAACACAACTGCTGATGAATAGTGAAGCTCCAACCAATTCTGCCAATGCCAAATTGATCAGACCCATCTTAGTTGCTTCATATGTGCCAAAAATATCAGGAGCACTATTTCCAAATGCCAAAATCGTCAAGCCAGCTAAATTATCGGGGATTTTTAAAAATGATTTCGATATTGTATGAAGGTTAGGGCATAGGAACTCCAGGGCGGTGATTCCTAAAGAAACAAACATGTAAGCTAATGATACAAGTAATGGGATAAGAGCCCATCCATGGAATATTTTCAAGTCGCAGTAGTATAGGTTGTAGTAGTTGAACACACTGTCGTTGTTGCAATTGTCTTTGACGTATTGGCATTGAAGTGCGTACGGTTGAGTCGTGACTAGTGAACAATTGAACGGCGAGTTGGATAGCGATGAGACTTCGCTGGCGCTAAATACATTCTTTGCGAGCACAGTAGGTAGAAAGAGTGGTAATAGTAGTAGCTGTAGCTGTAGCGATGTGTGCTTCATGTGGATGTGTTGCGGAAAGGTAACTTCCATTTGTTTCTTGTCTCAAAACACATTTCAACGTGTTTTGTTTCGATCATATAGCCTTCCAACACTACAACGCAAAATAAAGTATATGCTAAGAATCGCTACTAGAGACAATCAATAGGCATCCAATAGGAAGAAGTCTTTACTGCTTAGTCTTTACTGCTTAGTATTTACTGCTTAGTATTTACTGCTTAGTCTTTACTGCTTAGTATTTACTGCTTAGTATTTACTGCTTAGTCTTTACTGCATATTTCTATACTTTACATTCCAACATCGACAAAAGTTCCTAAAAATGTACCATTGATCCTTGCACCATCCCCCATACGGACGCACGAAGGCAGTTCCTTAGAAACGAAGCAAAAGTCCGCTCAACACATGGGATGCTGCACCCAAGATCAATTGTAGGTTTGTTCTCCAGTCCATCGCAAAAGGAAAAAAAAAAGGCACACTAAGGTCCCATTCCTTTTTCCTACAACAATATCCGAAATGGTCATGGGTCAAGAATGCCACAAAGGGATTCAACCTCTAAAGAATGCTTTAGCGTTGTGGATGGCTGTGATTTTTTGCGTTAAAGAAGAAAAGAAAGTGAAAGCGAAGTTGGAGAAATTTTTAACCACCGATTTGAAAAATTTATACGCAGAGATGATCCCTACCAAGGATACACGACCTCTTTTTTTTGATGGAGGCTCTTAGTGGCTCCAGTTAATAGCAACAAGATTATACTAGCAAAGAGATGGCGCGAAGCAGGTAATTGCAAATGTTTGTGACTCGTATTTATTAATCCTATTTACAAGAGTCCTTCTGTTTACCGATAGTTGCTGTCCTAACCTGCCAAAACCTAATTGTCCTTTTCAATTCTGGCCAAGATTTCCTTGTCAGTATATAACAAGTATTCCTCTTCACCGACCTTGACTGGGTTTCCACCAAATGAAGGCAATAAGACTTGGTCACCAGCTTTAACTGAAACTGGAATGTTTTGTCCAGTAGTAGTATTGGTAATACCAGGTCCAACAGAAATAACGACACCTTGATTCAACTTCTCTTGGTTCTTCTCTGGGATGTAAAGACCACTAGCAGTTTTGTTGGATGGTTTCAATCTTTGTACCAAGACTCTGTCAAACAAAGGTTTCAAAGCTTGAGCTGATTTCAAAAGAGTCGACTGGAAAAAATGTTAGTACATCTTAAATCGGTGTTAGGCATTGAAAGAGGCTCCTTCGCTTCGTCTACATACCATTTTTAGTGTGTTTGCAATTGATGCGTTGATAGTTAGTGATATCTACAGGTAAATTTTCTCATCGAACCCCATGGAATTTTTCAATTTATACAACTTTTCCAGTAACCAAAGCGCACGACTTTTTCTTTAACTTTCTAACTTAGATACTTATCCAAAGGTTCACCCAAAACTTTCTCAATAACTCTCACCAACCCTTCTCTTACTTCTAGCTCCACATACTCATCTTCATCTTCTAGTAGCTCGGCAATATGTGGCACCAATGTTGGCAAGTAAGTTAGCCACAGCTCTCCCATTTTCTGGAAAATCGTTTTGAGCGTACGAATTGTCCATATCTTGGTATTGGAAGAGTTTTCATTGTCATAAGAAACAAACTTGATCAATGACTTCAATATGTGTTCGTTGTATTCTTTGGATGAAACATCAGACACAAGCGCACTGATTGCCTTGACCAAATACTTCCCGATTGGATCTTCGATGTTGCACAACTGATCCAAAAGTGGTTGAACAATACCCTCGTATCTACCTTCTTGCGACCAATACTCATCTTGATCGTAATTGAATGAAGATGTCAACGAGATTAATATGATTCTGCGGAGACTGGTGTCTTGAAGAGTGCCATTAGCGAAATCACCAAGTACCGACGAAGTTGCATCAATCAAGTATGAATAGTAGGATGTGACAATACTTTTTAGTTGCTCTTGCAACTTATTGAAAAAACGATAAAATGAAATCAATCTTGACGTGTGGTTTATTTCCAATGTGCTGCCCTCTCCTGTCGTTGCCCAGCGAACCAAATTGGCAAACAATGGACGGAAACTCTTATCGTTGAGTTTCATAACAAAGGATATAGCACATGAGTGGAATGAGCTCTCGATTCTTCCAATAGTATTGTGATCGAACTTGTCACCCTCCAAGTGAGAATATTCTCTAAACTCAAATGACTGCATCAACAACTTGAAAAACATTGACGCTTGTTGCGTTGCTTCCTTCTTTTCCAATTTCTCAATTGCCGACTCCAAAGTATTCAAGTATAATCCAATATCTGCTGCATTATCAGTCTTGTAAAAACCCTTGTTTATCCAAATACTGCATAAAGATTTCAAGACTAATCCGGCCTCCATATGATTAATGATTAAATTCAATACCGCCGACTTGATCAGGTTCTCGGTCAAGTCACTCTTCAATGTTGTGATCAAAATTGAATCCAACGTTGTAACCATGAACGCTGACATCTTCTTGATGTAGCTTGAAAGCAATAATAACACCGACTCCTGGACTAACTTGGAACCCTCGTTGTCATTTTCCGTAGTCGATTCCCAAAGCTTTAAAGCTGGAGGAACAATCTTGGGGAAAAGGCCAAGAGTTTTGACTCCAAAAATGTTGACGACACTGATAATGGCGTTTATGGCAGCAACGATTGCTTCTGATTGAGAACTTAATAAACCGCACTCTGAGGTGAATACGCCCAAGGATTCCAACATGAACTTAGACATTTCTTTGACAATGAAATCTGCATTGGTAACCCCTAACTTACGTGTCACAATAGCAAACGTATTCAAGTACGCTTGTTGCAATTCAGCATCAATGTTCCTGCGAATGCCCTTGATCAATACACTGAGCAATCGTTCAATAATGGAGTTTCCAATTTTTGTATACGCATCAAAACTAATCTCATCTTCGAATTTGCTTGCTGATAATACAGCATAGTTTTTAGCTACTTTGATAGATGTGGTATCACTCAATTTATCAACATCCAAAAACTCAACAATCGAGTCAATAAAGTTGGCCAACGGTAACAAGTCCAATAAATTGGTTAAAATACCATACAATGCCGAACAAATTGGTTTGTATGGATGTTCATTGGAAAACATTTCAAGTTCAGACAAGATGAAATTAGTGAGGTCTTTAAACTTGGTCAATATTTCTTGCTTTGCGTTTTCATCATCAAGCAAAACCAAGGCAATTTTGCTCTTGAGCGACAAGGCATCAAATCTAGACGAGTCAAGGCGTAAAATGATATTGAAGTACTCAAAGAGTGAAGCCCTCAACCTCAAACATTCACCATCGGTAAGCCCAACAATAGCATTTCCATAGACTGGTCTTACTTTTAAAGCATCATAGTCATCGGAGTTAATTTCCAATTGCTTTATTGGAAGTGCCTTGACTAATTGGGTGAAATTGACAAGTCCAATCAACTGATCCTCAGCCGTGAATGATTTCAAATAGCTCTCAACAAATCCAACAATAGCCTCAGTCTCATCCAATCTCCTCTTTTGATTGAGTTGGACAAATTGCTGACCCAATAAAAACAAAACAATGTGCATGGAATCAGAACAGCCCAACGTTTGAGTCAATGCGACAAAAAGCTTGACCCTACGATGTGTAGGAATATGGCTGAAAGCAGCACTAAAACTGGTCAATAAAAACTCAATCTCTGAGCCAATAGATCCCGAAGAATTGGCAGCCAAGGCAGGAATAACTTTCGAAACAGTTTGCTGTAATGCATTGTTTGAAAATTCATCATCTTGTCTAATTGTATGTGCTCCCATAAAGGTGAAAATAGGCATGACTGAATGCAAGATAATCTCCGGCGACAATGTAGCCAACTCTGAAATGACCAACAATAATCTGTTTTGCACCTGTGGAGAGCTTGAATTTCTAATAGAGTTGACTATCAAGTCGGCCCTAATTGAATTGGAATCAAACTTGAGATTTTCACCACTGTTCTTCATGTTGGTGATATCTAAGAGCAAACAACTAGCCAACACCTCTTGCGTGTACAAAACGGGTAAGTTTCCATCGTTGCCCAAGTAGTCCAAATCAGTCAATATATTGAATAAAACCTTCAACAATTTTGGATCGGAGAAAGTGACATCCTTTCGTAACTTAGTTTCCAACACTTCCAACAAGATGGCCAATTTCCTAATATGTAACGCAGCCAAGCTGGTAACATCGTCCTTTGCCATTGCTTGTTTGGTTGAGTTTGATGATCTCCTTCTACGTTTGACAACACCTTGTTCTGGTGATTTTTCTCCAATTTGTACATTTCCTAATGCTTGCAAGAAAATATCCGAGCTCAACTTGATCTCATGCAAAGTTATCATTGGGTCAAATGGCACATATTCATCGTTGACGAGTAACTCAATCAATTTGTTGACAACTTGTAGTTGAGCTTCTATGGAGAATAGCTGAAATACATCCCTAACACGTTGTTCAACAACTTCCTGAATTCCAGAACCACTGTCTAATCCTTTGGCCAACCATTCAGATTCCCTTGAGGCCGTTTCGCTCGAAATTTTCTTACCTCCAACTAACCCCACCAATGCTTGATCAATGGCGACAAAGTTTTCAATACTTGCGCTCTTTGCTTGCAATTGCCAATCTTGTCTGCGTTCAGTGTAAGGACAAACATCAGTAGTCCAAAAGAATAGTCTTTCATCACCACTAAATTTGCACAATTCGCTTCCAATCTGCCAGGCTCTTCTTTTAAAGACAACTGGTAATTGCGATAATGCCCATTGAGAAAGGATAAATGTCTTGTACACGGCACCTAAACTCTTTTTCCCGTGCTTAACCAGGAAGCTAGAACTTACCAAGTGCGTGGTCTTTGATCGGTCAAACACTGCATCATCTAAAGCGTTACCTTCCGTTAAATAGTTGAACAAGGTTAAAGCGTCTTGGGGTGATATCATCTTCTTCTCTTCTGCAGAACTGTAAATTAAATCTTCCATAAACAAAGTTGTCTTGACCTTCTTTTGTTCCGAGTGAATTTCTTTTGAGATGGAGGCAATTGTTCTCACAATTTGGGAAATCGTCATACGTTCACCCTTTGATTCAGCATAGAGTCCCAATAAAAGTAAGGGAACCATCAAGTAAAAGTCTGTTTTAGCATCTGATGACTCCTTAATCTTTGAGGTTATAGCCTTGAGAGAGTTAACTCTGATACTAATTGGCACAGACGGAGTGAACCCAGTTCGAAGCAAAAAGGTCACTGCAATACCTGGTGTTTGGAACACCTTATGACAAAACTTCAATATCGCATTCTTCTGTGAAGACACTTTAATAGTTGAGCACAATTTCAATAACGATGATAATACCCCCTCAAAGTCTGAGTCATTACGGGCATCCAAGTACGTTGATGTGTGAGTCTTTATTCCTCCAAAGTCAAAAGCTTCAACCGTCTCATCTACAACCTCATCAACTACATCTTCCTCTATGATGCCGGCATTTTCTTCAGCCACAGCTTCGGTGATTGTTGATTGCAACCTAAGCTCCAAATCAGTCAATTGCAAATCATGCTTAGTGAGAATCTCTTCAAATTGTGTCCGAGCTTCCTTGATAATGAATTTGACGACATCAACAAGAGCCAACCTCTCATTTTCTTTCAAAGCAGTATTTGAAGCAATAAAACTAATAACATTTTCAGTGACAAAATGTGATAGAGCAGCGTCATCGAGATTGATCAATTCAAGTAACTGCACAGATTGGCTAGTTGGGAAGGTAGACACAAAGTAGTACGACAAAAACCTGTCTACTTTGAACTTTGCCAATTTCAAATCTCTCAAGACCTCCACAACTTGGTGATTCAACAACAAGTGACTGAAAGTGTCCTTGTTGACCACAAATTCTGTATTAGAATTCCACAACTGCACCAACAATGTTAATGTTGGTTTGAGCAAACTTCCAGAAACACATTCCTTGTCTTTGCAAATCGCCACGGTCAATGAATTTACAAGCTCAGGATTCAATGAAACAACAGATGAAGTCACGGACAAGATTGAAAAAGCAGTGAGCTTCAATTCTGAAATTTGGAAATGCGTGCCACTCGATTCATGCTTGAGCAATAAATCAACAGTTTCTAAAACCACTGGAATAAGATAATCATTCAACTTTTCCAGGTTTTTCGACAATGATGCAAGAATTTGAATCGTAATTGACAAATAAAACACCAATTGCTCTTTATAAATAGTGCGGTTCTTGATCAGATCATTAAAAAATGAAGTGTAGAATTTGAACAACGCCTCGTCACTATAAAAAGCCCTGAAAAGTGATTGCAAAGGAGGACTTTTCAATCGGTCCTTGAAGCTGCTCAACCACTCAAAAATCTTGGGAATATTCTGTTTAGGAATCACATTCAAAACCTTGACAAAGATAGGTTGTTGGTAATACGGTAATACCGACAAAACCAAACACTCTGAATTGTGAATGTTTGCTTGGAATCTCCTAACCAACCACTCACTAGCAGTGAGGGCGGCAGTGAAATTATAATATGGGCCCAATAATGTGAAAAAGGCGTTGATATTGGCATTTACTTGTTGAATAACATCTTCAGTTTGTACATTTCTGTCAAAGTTTATCGAGTCGGTTGCAAATAGTGAAGCTCGAAACTTGTTGAACCTGGTGTCTAACTCGCATAATTCATCGAGTCCGTCGATTGCAATTTGATGGATATATTCATAATCTTGTGTAGATGCAACCTTGGGCTCGAAAATCAACGAGCGAGAGTGTATTTTTGACCTTTGCTGTCTATTCAACGCAACGGACGCAGTCTTTTCATTGATCGACTTTAACTGAGACGCTAAGCTAGACATTGTGATTACTGTGAGTTGATATAGTCTGATAACGCGATGGGATCTCTTTCGCCTTTTTTTTTTTTTTTTTTTGCACCAAAGGACGATGAGATGCCTTTTTTGTGCGTAGAGAATACATCTACTCAATCAAAGCCGACAGTTCACCGACCGTGTATTATATGCCTACGTACTTCTACAAAAGCTTCATCAACGGGTTAGTGAATCGATGCGCTATAAAATTCCTTCAACCCTTCGTCATAGCCCTGCTCCCATTCCCAAATGTTCTTTTGAGAACCCTTTTTGTTGGAAAGAGCTTCCAGTAATCTCGATCTTTTCAAAGCTTCCTTTCTTCCAATCCTTGAGCCGTTAAATTTTGCAAAAGAGTCCGCATCTTTCCAAGCAGTGGTGAATCCATCTTTAAATAAATCCGGTTCATACTTTCCTTTTGGATCTTGTTCTTTCCAGTAATTAGCATGGTTGTTGGTTGCATTGTCCGCAGCTTGCTTAAATTGGTCATCAGAAGGTGGATTAGATGGTTTAGGGAAGGGTTTGAGTGCTCCCTTATCAGTCATGGTTTTGAAATCCCACTCACCACCGTTTCCTGATTGAAATTTATAGGTCCAAAAGTAAGATCCACTTGCTCTCTCGCCAATTGCTTTGAGCTCATGTTGGCCGTATTTCACAACCAAATCATCTCTATTGCCCTTTGTATGATCCCATGTTTGCTGGTCCAAAACACAGGACCATTCGCCTACAATAAAATCAACACCTTTTCCGTCGTCATTCAAGTTGGTCAACACGTCACCGTTCAAATCATCAGTAATTTGTTCTGCCGACTTTTTCTTATCGGAGTCTGAGAAACAGCGATAAACATGGTCATCCACAACGACACCAATATAGCCATCATCACCTTGCTCTTGTTGGACCCATTTGACCCATTGGTCTGGCCACCAGCCATCAGAAATCACTACTGGGATCAGCTTGTCGCTCTTTCTCACCTCTGTAATTGCTGCGGCATAGTATGTAGATTGCTTTTTAGGTGGATCGGCAAATTCTGCTTCATTCACAACTTGAATACCGGCAATGTTTTCGTAATTTTTCAAATCGTTGGCAATCCATCCCAGCAATCTTGCCATTTCCAATTGTGCTTTATCGTCTTTCCAGAATCCACCTTTGGTACCACTTTCACCAGAGTGACCAGAGTCGTTGGCCCCACCTGGCAAGCCATGGATATCAATCAAGATCGAAATTTGGTGTTTCAGAGCAGGCTCAATGTAGTTCTTCTTGATGATGGACCATGCATTGGCATACACTGCCTTGTATTTTTCAAATTTGAATCCAGAAGTAAAATTTCCACCATCGACATCCCAATATCCAATTGGTAATCTGACTGAGTTAACTTGGTGGTCTGCCAACCATTTCCAATCGTCATCGGTCACATAGCTGGTCCAGTGGCTTTCAAATTTGGCTCTAGTATCATCAACACCATGCTTTTCAACCAACGAAGACACTGCATCCAATTCGGCATCACCTTTGGTTTCAGAAAACAAATCTCCGAAGATCCACTTTTCCAAAACAAAACTAGATCCAAAGTTGACCCCATAGTTCAATCTGGATTGGTAAATTTGCTTTGTACTTGGTGGTTTACCTGAATTAACTGCAGGATCTGCATCGGGAATGTTTGATGCTCTGCTTTTCAACTTTAATTTTGCGAATGGGTGCTGCATTTTAATGTGTAGTTTCGAAGGATAGAATTAGATCTAAACCGGGACCAATTGAAATGTATTTATAATGAAATATAGCTCAGCCTTGTGGGTACTCCTTTTTTTGGGAGGGGTGGGAGATGGAATGACTTGAATAATTTCGTATCCCCCTTTTAGTGGTTAAACGCATGATTGCTCTTGGGGTATATTTTTGATTGCTGCAGAGTAAAGTTATACTCTTACACAAAATCAAAGGTTAAATACCCGATCTTTGGACCTTGTCGTATTTCTTGTTTCTAGAAAATAGACACTACGACAGAAACACGTCTACGACAATCAAAAAAGTCTGCTAGCTTCACCTACCACAAGCTAGCTCTTCAACTGTCCTCGAAATGGAACATACGCCAATTCCCTCTGATTGGTCGCCGTATTTTAAACGGTTATTTTTGGTGTTTCATGAAATAAACAAGCATGCCACTTTCTTTGCTTCCCATTCACGTAGTATCATTCCTTCAGTGCAATTATTCCAGAAATTGAACAAGACGATAACAACTACAGATTTAGCAACCATTAAGTTCTTGTTTCCAGAAGATGAAATCTTTTTCGATTACGTGGATGAAAACCAAATTATGGTTTCATTTGTGGAGGAGGTGAAATTTGGCAAAAAAGGATATGACCAAACACCTGTGGCCGACAAGTTTGAGGATGATAACCAGCAGCAATCGAAACAGATCCTCATCTTTGATTTTCAGGACGTGAAAATACACGGAATAGGGAAAATGGTAAAAGGTAGAAAGAGAATGAAAGTGGATACCAAGCCAAAGGAATTCGAGACTTCTACCAGACAGGGCTTCTTCCTCAATAGCACTAATTGTGCCTTGAAGCCATTAGATAGAGATAACTTAACTAAAATAATTCAAGGGAGAGATAGTCGATTTAAGCAATTAATCTTAAATTTTATTAAGGATTTCGATGATATAGAACGAGCTGAGGAAGTTTTGTCAAAGGGTGCCTTGAAGTTGATTCCGGAGAAACCAGTTTTAGACGATTTAGTGAAGGTGCTAGAAGGTAGGGAAGACGTTGTTGCTCAAGACAATACCTCCTACACAGCTGATGAAATGATTGAAACGTTGAAGAAATCCAGAGCATACGCTGACCAGATAGTGTCGGTTCATAAGTTAAATGGCACCCAACCACCACAATTTCAAGCGTTATCAAGTGCCATATCTAACAGTCTTCACCTGGAACTAAGAGATGCATTGTTAGCGGCAAAGGAGATCTCCATAGATGGTGGCCTTTACACCCACCAAGCGCAAGCATTAGAGTCGCTCTTGGATGACTCTAGCGATGCACATCTAATAGTTAGCACTCTGACGGCATCAGGAAAATCGCTTATATACCAACTACCAGTACTCAATTCTATTTTGTGGGATATAACTAATGGTTTGAAAGGAAGACATACAACGGCATTATTTATTTTTCCAACCAAAGCTCTAGCCCAAGATCAAATTAAACAATTTCAGTTATTTTTAAACCGTCTACCGAGCAACTCTCGACGGCCTATAGTTATCAACACTTATGATGGCGATACGCCTTTTACTGAAAGAGTCAAAATACAGCATGAATCGGACATACTTTTCACAAACCCTGACACTATTCATGCCTCGATTCTACCTAATAGTAACTTTCAATCTTGGCGAGAATTCATAAAAGGGCTCAAATACGTTGTTGTTGATGAGCTACATATCTATAAGGGAACCTTTGGTATAAATGTGGGCTATGTTATGGCACGTCTTTCAAGGATCAAAGATAGAATTTGCCCAGATGAACGGGGTCTTCGATTTGTATCTTGTTCCGCAACTATAAATAATCCTGTTCAACACTTTAAAACAATTTGCGCAATACCAGAGGAACTGGAAGTCATACATGTATATAACGATGGAAGTGCCAGGTGTGAGAAAAAAATGCTTGTGTGGAATCCACCGGTGTTAATGAATAACCGTGGTGAAAGGGGCCCCATGGACTCCAATAGCCAATTGATAACAAGGGTGAGTCCTATTTTTGAACTGGCCAGACTTTTACTTACTCTCTTGACTGAGATGCCAAGTCTCAAGATCATTGTATTTTGCCCTATCCGGGTGGTTTCAGAAATGATGATGAGGGAAGTCCGATCACTTTTACAAAAGTCGCCTTATTCCAAACTGGGACTAACCCAGAGCGATATAATGTCGTATCGTGGCGGATATAGTAAATCTGACCGACGTATTATCGAAAAGAAGATGTTTGATGGGCAACTACGTGCTATAATTGCTACAAATGCATTGGAGTTGGGTATAGACTTGTCCGACTTGGATGTTGTCATCACTTGTGGGTTCCCCATGCTGAAACTGAATTTGCATCAACAATTTGGTAGAGCAGGTAGAGGAAAAGGAGTGAGGGGAAGTTTGGTTGTGTTTGTGCCAAGTAGGTCTCCTGTAGATCAGTACTACATCGAACACGCTGATGAGTTGGTAATCAATACCTATGAAGATTTGTGTGTGGATAGCTTGCGCGACATGGAACACGGACTGTTGATTCTAGAAAGGCACTTGCAGTGCGCTGCTTACGAGGATGCAATTGATGTGAATAGCGACTACAAGTGGTTCACCAAGGGCCGTAGCTTCAAAGCATTTGAAAAGATTTTGACAGCACATTTAGTGCAAGATATTGGTGACAGGTTTATTCCAAGTTCCAATTATATGCCCAAGCCATCAAAGTTGGTCTCTATTCGTGCCGTTGAAGATGACAGCGTAGCTGTGGTTGATATAACCAATAATAGAAATATCGTCATTGAGGAGGTCGAGCTTCTGCGAACCACATTCACCATTTACGAGGGAGGTATTTTCCTACACCAAGGGCAGCCGTATCTAGTTAAGGAATTTAATCACGATCAAAGGTATGCTAAGGTTGAAAGGGTCAATGTTGACTGGACGACATCACAAAGAGACTACACAGATGTAGACCCGGAGGAGGTAGAGTTGGTCAAACCGTTGGTTCCAGAAGGAAATGCGGTAGATATACCGGCGTTTTTTGGGCTTATCAAGATTACAATGTTGGTATTTGGCTTTTTCAAGGTCAATAGGAAAGAGGAAATTCTTGAGGTGGTTGAAGTCAACAATCCCCCGGTCATTGCATATGGCAAAGGTTGTTGGCTAAATGTTCCTAAAGCTGCTCTTGATATTATCAAAGCAAAACAACTTTCAGCAGCTGGTGGTATCCACGCTGCTGCACATGGAATCATGAATATGCTTCCCATATTCGTCAACTACTCTCAAGCTAATGCTAATTTGGGCGATTTTGAATTGGCAACCGAATGTAAAGCTCCGACAAAAGAGTTTAAATCTACGAAATCAGAACGCAAAAGACCAGCTAGATTAGTATTTTACGATACAAAGGGAGGCAAGAGCGGTTCAGGATACTCTTACAAAATATTTGAGTGTATTGATGAATTGATAAATTCTACATTTCACAGAATAATAAAGTGTGATTGTCAATGGGGCTGTCCTTTATGCATTGTCAGCAATGCATGCCGTGAGCAAATGCGTGTAATGTCTCGCCCGGCATCATTAATCATACTAGGATCATTCCTAGGATTGGATTTGGAAAAATTGGCTGACACGTTACCAAATGGTCCAGAGCCAGACATGCCACCAATCTTGCATGAAACTATAGTCAACAGTATGTCCAGTGTAAGGTTCTCGCCCAATGTGAGAATATTGAATATAGCCACAGAATAAAGCCGATCTTTTAAAAATTCAGTATTTTACTCGCTATCTTCCCCGTCACCGACGAACTCTTTCTACTAAGCTTCTGGCCAAGATTCTCCTTTGATGGTGGCTTGGGACTGAAACTTCTTGCACTCCAATCATCTCCCGAGTTTCTAACGTTATGCTTACCCCCATGTGATCCTCTTTTTGACGCCGTAGATGTGCTTGAAGTTCGCGATTGTATGTACAGCGGTCTAGGCGACGCAAACTCGTGGCTCGATGCCAGCAGTTGTTCAACTTGGAGGGCCGGCGAGCTTATGAGATGTTTGGGTTTGGCCAACCTGAATACGCTTTGTACTGGCTTGAGATATATCGACGCTAGAGAGCCAAAATTGAGCTCCAACTCTTCCAATATAGCAGGATTTATACTATCATTTTCAGATGTTATATGAGGATCCTGATTGAAAATGATGTCCTTTGTGTTTTCTTGAAATCCATTTTGGGAGCTACTAGCATATTCGGACGAAAGCAATCGCCAATATATGTAACCACGATCTCTGACGTCTGGATTGTTGGTCTCTTCTGTTGCCCATTTCAACACACCAAGAAGCATTTCTTCGCCATCTAGTGGGAAAATAAGGTAATACTTTGTGACTGCTGTCAACATTGCAAGTTGTACTTCAATGGGGTCATCGGTAAACGAAGTCATCAATTGCGATAAATGCTTTTTAGGAGTTACAATGCTTTTGCAAAATTGGCCAACCATCCAAATCATCGACACCTTTGCATCTGGCTCGTCAAAGATCTGACAATACTTTGTGAGCTCGTCGACAGCATAGTTATACCTACCGGGATATCGCCGTACGATATTCTTCACCACAACAGCTGCCTCTTGAACAATATAGGTAATCCCCGTTGAAATAAGGTCGCATAACACCTCGACACATCTTTCAGCTGCATTCTCTAATTTAACTGCCAAGTTTCCAAATGCTCTGATTGCTTTTCTTGCCATTGCCACATCCACTTCGGTAGCATACTCTTCAAGTTCGTCCAAAACCAGCTCAATGTTATTCTCGTTCGCTAATAGGTAAATGATTTCAAGCTTTGTATCCTTGACATAAATAGGGTCATCAAATCGGCAATAAAACATTTCGATATCAAATTGCACCAAGTTTTTCTTGCCAAGTAAGAGCAAAATGACATTCCTCAACACCAAAAACTGAGTCTCCGACGGCTTGGTAAGTAATGAGTTCAAGGAAGCACCGATACGCTTAGGAAGTATTGGGAAATGAAGTTCAGGGTTCCGCGCGTAGTTACTGTAGTAAATGATAATCTTTATCGCATTGAGCACCACTGCCGAATTTTCGTGCTGCAAAGATGGGAGTGCTGCTTCCATCAAGTCTAGAGCCTCGTTCTCAGTTTGTGGCACATAAGCCATGAGCGAGTTTAATAAATAAATTTGTTGCCATTCATTGGCTGTCCTCAACAATGAAATTAAAGTTAATGAATGGGCCTTATCAATCGTCAAATTCAAAGTCTTGCTCCTCTCAGTGATGGCGCTTAAAGCAGCTAAAGCTTCAGAAATTATCACCAGATCATCCTCATAGAGCAATTCATTCAATTCATCCACTAGTAATTCTCGTTCAGTTCGTGCTGGATCGTGTTGATGTAACCTTGCAATTGCATACGCCGCTGTTCGTTTCACATACGGATCCTTATCTCGAAGAGCTCTCTTTACTGAAGTAAAGCTGAGGTCCAAAAACGCAGGGAGATTGATGGAGGACATGGTCTTTATGGCCAAAGCTCGCAAGATTGGTGAATGCTCATCCTTAAATCGGTGTAAAAATGGGATGGCTTGTTGCGCATCGGGTGACAATAATGAGTAGCTCACCAAGTACTCACAGCAAATTTTCCTAACTTCTATATCGTCTAATTTCATTAAGGGGATCACGCCCTTCATCAAGGCTGCCATTTCATGGTTGTTTAATATCACATTTGCCAAAAGCTTTCGAAGAACAACCTTGATCCGATTTATCGGTTTAGATTTTTTGAAGGCCTGTTCAATCTCTGCTTGCAATTCTATGCTTTTTGACTTGGTGAATAGTTTGGCATCACTCATGCTTGTTAATGGTTGTACTTCGTATCGTTGATAAAAAAAATTGTCGGTGTTCGGAACATTCGATTACGCGGTTGGAAAAGTGTGTTTCCATTTTCTTTTTTCATAACCAAATCAAATCAATTCTATTGACTATATAGATATATATATATATATATGTATATAACTTTGTATAAGTATGCATTCACAGAACCATTTATAGCTTGACATAACCAGCAGCATATGAGACACTGCTATCCTTTGGCGACTTTGCATGGTTGCTCTGGGAATATCCAATCCACTTAAAAACATCGCCTCCCTCTTTCAACCCGTATTGTTCCAAGAGTTGCAACATCACAGCTATTGGTTTCTGCCCGCAGATCGTGTTGCCGGAAACACGAATATATTCTCTCCATTCAGAAGCAGATCCCTTCGAAGCAATTTGGAGTGCCATACGGTCCAACATCTCGATGGACTGGTACACGGGAATATCCTGCAGTCCCAACAGGTATCTCAATGAATGAATATCTGTTTCCAAGCTGTCCAAGGTCGCATCTCGATTGGCCAAGACCTTTGTGTAACCGAATCTTGACCCCCAGTGGCAAAAGTCGGAGCTAATGATAAAGTGATTCTCCTCATCCTGAATGTACGGATATAAAGCATCTACCAACTCATTCAGAAGCTCCAAGTCCATCCCACTGATAAGTATGGGTATAATTTTAGGCACACCGTGTTTAGAATTCTTTCCTTGGTGGTAGATAAATGGGGCATGCATTTCAAATGAGTGTTCGTCTTCATCAATCTCCTCAGACATCAATTTAAAAACAGGCTGGCCGTGTTTCTTCTTGAACTTTTTCTTGAGCAAATCGTTTATTGTTTCTTTGTCAACAGGTATGTCGCCCAAGGGGGTTTCATAGAAGTCAAAGGGGGAAAGCAAAGCCTTGTCCTTGAAATACACATGATGGGAAGGCCCTAGTAAAAACACCCTTTTAACAGTCGATGTGTCCCATGCATTAAACGCTTCACCTAATCTCTCTCCAGAGTAGGTGTATCCAGCATGAGGGCCAACCAAAACTCTGGCTCCATTTACTGTCTTGTTCGCCGCCACATTGCCCGATTTCTGCGCTGCGAGTATCAATGCTTGTATTTGTGATTGAAGGGTCTTTGGATCACCACTGTACCACGAGCCAGCATGTGTAGCTTGACGGACAGTCATGAGGCGTAGAAAAAACGAAGTGTATAATATTTTGTTAGTATTAGAGAGAAAAGATCGGGTAGTTTATCTTATCGGCCTTTGTTCTTGCCTTCGGGCAGTGTCACATTATTTCAACCACGCATTTGATTTTACGACACGAGTGGGAAAAGTTTCCACAACAAACTAAACGGGGTAGTTTGCAAGGCAACGGATACCGAGTACGGTTTACATTCCATTGTACTATGAAGACCCGAGAAGAGTCTGTTTTATACTCCGTTCTAACGGATAGGAGAATTCTGTAATACTATACAGTGTTAAATGGCTCGATCGGCACGCGGACTTATAAGTAGCCGTAACCGTTAACCGATGTACCAATCGGAAAAATAAAAAATTCATGTTTGTTTTCTTTTTCATGCAGAAACCCGGTTCAAGCTACAAAGATAGAAATAGTTTTAGCTTTGACTACGCCGGTGATCACTGCAAGCCTGGGTTTCTGCTACAATCACGGTCTATTTGCAAAGTTGTCTATTCATCTATTTGGTTATTTCTAATGTCCATTGGTTGGTTAACAACTCTTCATCTCCTTCATAATAAGTTGAAAAGGCCTGGTACACACCTCTTGTCACCCATCCACCTGGTGATACTTCTTCTTCGGTCTCAACTTCGTATACCTCAGTTTCAGATGGCTCACGGGTACCCAACTCAACCATCTTCGTTTTGAATGGAATTCCACCTTTCTTGACCACTTGCTTGTAACGCAAGTTTTCCATCTTCCTGTTCTTGACCTTAAACTTGACAGTGGTGTGGAACTTAGCTCCACCTGGGATTTTTACATGGAGAGGCTCAGTTCTTCCTTCAAGTTCGATAACCTCTGGTTCCTTGCCCTCGACATGTACCACGTTTTGGAATGGAGTGAAATCTGGGTGTGGTGTAGTGTTCATTATAAAAGTTGATTGATTATGCTCAGCGAATTTGTTTTTGAGAAGCAAAACAGGTTCAGAAAGTAGGTGATTTGGTGCTATATTTATAGAAGACCAGAGTTTGTCCTCGGTTCAACTTGTTCTTCTCTAAGAACAATAGAAATGGTAAACGCGCTAGAGTAAAGCATGCAGGACAATATTAGACGTTAAAATTTTTCAAACACGTCAAACATCAACTCTCGCATTCTTTAAATGGGGGATACAACGTTTATGTTTGAGTTGTTAAGAGACGGTGACTCATACGACAGTATTAGCTCTATGTCGTTTACACGGCTCTCGGTAAAAAGAAAAAAACTCTTGACATTAGCACCATCTAACCGCGACAATAGAGCAACCTAAAGCGTGTTTTAAATTTGTGCTACTTTGTCTCTAAGTTGGGGAAACATTACACTAAACCACTGCCCCACAGAGAGGAGAAGTAGCAGCTCCACCATCGCCAACAAAGGTTCAGCTATTTATTTCATCCGTCGACTAAAAAGTATCGCGCAGATGAATAACCAGGGCTCAAAACCAGAAGAAATTAAGACAGCCGAGCATATTGGAAACTTGGCTTTTCAGAGATGCCCAAGAAATGTTCGTATTTTGCAACCTAATCATAGTTGAAAATATCGTGTTTAAGAAGCGGATGCCTTTCTAAGAAGCTTTTAGTACTTCAGTGGAACGATGTCAAGACGTTTTGAAGAAACAAAGTGTTTATAGTTCACTATGAAAGGTGTCTTCTAACCGTTGAAGAGTAATTTTCTGTAGTATGTGCACAAAGGTATCTTTAGGTGCTTTCCTGTGATTAATAACTAAAAGGGTAGACAAAGGAGAGGCGCTACATTTCCCATATACCACGCTTACGGGTGAGTGTGTTGCACCCCAGCAGGTAAGTCCATCGAGCTACACAAGATCAAATATCAATTAGCATTTATTAGAAAAAGCACTTCTCACAAATAACACTTCACAGTGCTCTTCTTGTACTACACTAATTCTAAGGTCCAGGAATCGGTATACAATTCCTTATCCCCTTCATAATAGGTAGTCGTGCAGGGATAAGTACCCCTGGTTAACCAACTACCGGGTGTTTCATCTTCTGGCGTCTCAACTTCGTAAATTTCAGTTTCAGAGGGTTCAAAAGTGCCCAATTTAATCTCCGTTTTCTTGAAAGTTATTCCAGCTTTCTTGGTAATTTGTACAAACCGTAAGTTCTCCATTTTTCTATTCTTGACTTTAAACCTAACAACCTGGTGAAACTTTACACCCCCTGGGATTTTGGTGTGAACTGATTCCAGTCCTTCGATTTGAACCGTTTCTGGGTCCTTTCCTTCGACATATACGACGTATTGATAAGGAATGAAATCTGGATGTTGGTGGATTGACATGATAATTTATGTTGTTGATTTTGAAGTAGAGACATAAAAGAGGGTGGGAGATCTCTACTTATATAAACCGAAATTTTTACTAGAAGAACGCTACACTGCTACATGGTTTGTGCAACATAAATCGTTGTCAACAATGACACGTTTTATTTTCATAATACAAAAAAAAAAAACAAGTTAGCCAATCCTGCATGCTCTTCATTTGCACGGGATATTTTGTAAATCAGCAAAATGGATACCTTTGATTTTACGAACTTTGTGGGGGAGGAGAGAGGGGTGAAGTTATGACGTCAGCCACACTGTTCCCTATACAAAGTACTTTCCTTTTACACAGTCCTATAAAGCCTCCAAAACAGTTATTGTCCAATATGGCAAATTCCTGTAAATTCATTCACCTCTTCTTCCAACACTTCCTTCAACTGGGGCAAATTGCACGATTTTTCCTCAAAACTGAAATCAAAAGGTGACTTACTACTAGCCTCTTCAGAAGAGTTTCTCACAAATTTGAAAAAATCTTGTGCTAGAATCTCATCAACCGTTAATCTCTTCTTGCAGTCCCACTGTAATAAGTTCTCAATCAAAACGATTGCTTCATTTGGGGCAAACGGGTATAACGACGTCCAATTTACTGGCTTGTATTTTACCCACAGAATTCCCTCAACTTTCCAATTGTACTTTTTAATCGTCTCGGGTGGTGGGCTGCCCAACACCTTGAACAATTCATGAATCTGCTCATGCAGATTTTTCCCAGGAAAAAGTGGTCTTCTCCCAAATAGCTCTCCAAGTATGCAACCCACGGCCCAAACATCGACCGCTTTTGAGTAATTCTTGGTTGATAAAATCAATTCGGGTGCACGATACCATCTGGTGGCAACATAGTTGGTAATTGTAGCAGTGCGGTTCTTGAAAAACTTAGGGTTTATCCCGCGTGCTAAGCCAAAATCACATATCTTAAGTGTTCCTTGGGTTGTAACCAAAATGTTGCCTGGTTTCAAGTCTCTGTGTATAACATCAGCCGAGTGGATATACTTTAAACCACACAATACTTGATACATAAAGTTTTGTATGTGAAATTCCGATAGTTGAACGTTTGAATACAATACCCTCGCCAAGTCAAGGTCTGCCAACTCTTGAAAACAATAAAGGCCATCATACGGCTTCACATAGACAATGTCGGAGTCAAGCAACGATGCGATCTAGTCAGTCGTTAGTATGTCACGAATTTTTGATATTGGGGCTTCAACTCTCAACGTACATTCTTATGGCCCTTGAAGAACTTCATAAACTTGAGCTCCCTTATTGCTCTAACCAAAAGTATATCCTTGGTGAATATTTTTGTCACCTTTTTGATGGCTATTTTATGCTCAAGACCGGTGCTCAAACTCTTGGTATCGATGGCAGAACAAACGACCCCGTACGATCCTTTTCCTAAAACCCGAATTATCTCGTATCTTGAATCAACTAGGAAGTAATTTTCTTTATCTGTGTATGTAGAACATGACTCAAAATATCCGTTTTTACCTCTCAAAGAGGCCATCTTGTTGTTGTTGGTTGTGGTGGTTGGGTGTGGTTGTTTTGTAATGTGTGTGAATACATTGTTGTGTATCAAAAAATTGTTGCAAAAGTGCGTTCCTTGTTCTATTCTAAATTTTTTATCTTTTGTGCACGCAAATGTCCACAATGTGTTGGGACAGCAGATAAGATTGTTAATTGATTGAGGAGCTAGTCTTTTAGGAGCTTTTGGAGCAACAGTGGTTTAAGGATGTTGTTTATATTCTCTGTGCTGAAAGGCTCTATATACATCGACTCGTAAGGCCAGAAAAAGAGCGAGGGGATGGAAGGCGAAGGTGGTCTTTTTGAAAGCTTCGTCCGTAAAAAATAGCTTGATAACTCCTAAGCCTCGTAATGACTAGACCTCTCTTCCCTACTGCTGCCCTCTATGTCTAGATAAGCTTGTTCCCCGTGGATGATTTCATTACAAATCATCTTGGTAGCGCATTAATAATAAAAAGTCAAAGGCGCTCCAAAAAATAATGGTGAGGTTCACTCATCAAACGTCACAACTATGACTAACACCAACCTCACATTGAAACAACTTGATGCAGTTCAGGACCTCATATTAGACAAGTTGGTGCAAAATTCTACGCGAATAAAAACGATAATTTCATGCCAGCTTTATCTTGTCGAGCGGTTAGTTTCACAATGCAAATTGTTGGAAAAGGTCGGCTATTGCGACTATGAGCTCGCATATATACTATACGCTTTGCTGAAACGATATTTAGAACTTTTTGAAGCGAAAATAAGAGGCTCTAGTGGCGAACTTCACTCGGTAGTCAAGGGTGTAATAGAACAGAGAGCAGAACAGGAAGGAGTTATTCGAAGTCACTTACATGACGATTCGAATGGCGATGGTTTACTCGATAGATTCAAGGCATTAAATGATAACACGGCGACGAAAACAGCACCACCAAAAGCGAAAGCAAACAGCTATCAAGAACTGGTCAGTCCTACAGAATTACAACAACTTTTCAACAACAGCAAAGTTCTACTCATTGATTACCGACCCCACAAGGATTACGTGCATAACCACATAAAGCACCCAAATGTTATAAATATTGAACCTTCACTAGTGGAAAGTCTTTCAGAGGAGGCGACGAGCGAAGATTTGGAGGCTCAATTAAAGCAAACCTTGACGCATCAACAACAGAAGGTTTTCGAAGATCGACGAAAGTTTGATTATGTCGTTGTATACAACTTCAAGTATGGCGTACTGGGAGATAATAGATTTATGGAGATATTGAATGGTACGGAAGAGACGGTTGCCAACCCATTTCGAAGGTTAATTGACCTATTGACGACAAAGAATGCGTTGATTTCTTCTAAGCTTAGATTGTGGCCCGTTTACTTGTCCGGGGGAATCCGAAACTGGCATGCTATATATGGTGACGAAGTGGTTGAAAATTCACGTAACCTGGCTACTGTACAAGACAGAAATGGGTTAGTTTACCCAAAGTCCTTTGACGATTATTTGTCATCGGCAAGGAGATCAAGTCCTAGTCCCGCTACTTTGGAAAGTAAGAAGAATTTAACACAAGCAAAGGAGAGTACACCGGAAATCCTACAAAATGCACTGTTGGTGTCGCTGGAAATGGGAGTTCGACCTTATAATCCGCAATCAGTTAGTACAAAAGCAGCTACAACCACGAGCACGCCACGTGGAGATGCACCACAGCCAAGCTTCAAGCTGCAAAAGGATCAGATGGCAAATATACTTGATGGATTTAGTACCGGTTTGGTCAACTTGGGTAATTCGTGCTATATGAATTGCATGATTCAATGTTTGGCTGCTACGCCACAACTAACATCTTTCTTCTTTCCATCTGTATCAATGAATGGATCCTACAAGCAGCATATAAATGTCAACAACAAACTTGGTACGCAAGGAAAATTAACTATGGGCTTTGTTGAACTACTTTTAAACATGTTGAACAATAATGGAAAAGTTTTCAGTCCCTCGAAATTCAAAAGGATTGCTGGTGAGTTATCTCCTGGGAAACAATTTGCTTCATGCTCGCAACAGGACTGTACAGAATTTGTCACGTTCTTGCTTGATGGGTTGCATGAGGATTTAAATCAAATGACAGTCTTGGATCCAAAGGAGAAGAAGCGGATATCGGAATTGACACCAGAACAAGAAAAAAATAGAGAAGTGTTACCAGTAAGACTTGCATCAACCATAGAATGGGAGAGGTATTTGAAATTGAATTTCTCAATCATTGTGGATAACTTTCAAGGTCAATACTTGTCTCAATTACGTTGCTTGGAGTGTGGGTCGACATCGACTACTTACAATGCGTTTTCTATATTGACTCTCCCCATTCCCGAGAAGTTGAATCAAACGCAAAAAGTCACTTTGCAAGACTGTATTGAAGAGTTTACTACTACTGAGTTGCTTGATGACGGAAACAAATGGCACTGTTCTCATTGTAAGAAGTTCACCAGATCAACAAAGAAAATTGCAATCACGCGATTGCCTCAGGTTTTAATATTGAATTTCAAGCGGTTCAAGGTGAATTCCAACGGGCAAATACGCAAGTTGGAAACGTTTGTAACTTATCCTGTGACTGAAACGTTGGATTTAACTAAATACTGGACAAAGCCTGGAACTACCATGAGCGTATCTGGTGGACCAAAGATGTCTCTTGAAGAGGAAGCCACCATTCTTGAAAGTTTTCCAGTGAGGAATCAAGAGCCTCCGTTTAGATACCAGCTATATGGTGTCGCCAACCACTTTGGTACCCTATCCACGGGTCACTACACTTCCTATGTCTACAAAAATGGAAAGAAGCGGTGGTGCTACTTTGATGATTCCAAGATCACACCAAACGTTTCGCCCGACAAGGTGATGAATAAGAATGCGTTTTGTTTATTTTTTCAAAGGGTATGATTTAGATTATATATTCTGTACTATTATGCTCCCTATCGTCTATTTCGACTACCTTTAACTTAGGATGGTTCATGACTAACTGCTTACTCACTCCGAGCCAGAGCCAGGGAACTTTATCTTTAGGCGAGATCTTCACGGTTCCATGAAAGTTGGTAACAAACAAACGATCGTTAACCGTAATATTAGTGGTAAAATTAATAAATTCATTAAAGATTGAAATCGCTGACCAAAACTGTAGTTTTCTCAAACACGCAACTAGCAAACTTGTAATTTGTCCTCCGTTTAAGCAATGTATAAACACAGGCTGGTTCTTGTTATGAATCATGAGGTCAAGAGCCGTTAAAGCCAAATCGTAATCCAAAGGTACTGACCTCTTCTTTCCTTTGCCTCCTGAAGCGCACTCCAAGTGTATCAAACGTATCGATTGATCGTGCGCCCATTGGTATAATACGGAATCTGTCTCTAGAGTGATGGGTTCTGGTGTTAATGAAATTATCGTCTTGAGATTGAGCGTTTCTAAGAATTTAAAGTTTGGCTGTCGTGGATACGCTCCACGATATAGGTTGGGTTCGACTAAGTTGAATCGTAGTGGAGGTATGTAAGCTTCTGGAATCGCTGTCATGGTTTGAATTGTGGGAGTCGTGCCTTGGAAATATGACGCAGGAGGGAGTGTAGATGTTGCTTGTCAAAAGCAAAAAGTCTGGTTTTTTTTTTCTTCCTCTTATCATCTATTTACCATTAAATTAAATTATTTTACTCTAGAAATACACATTCTATAGACTCTCTACACATTATAGTAATTTCGGTTTTTTACTATCCTCAACATTAGTTGCCAACACTTCCTCGATGGACCAACGTGGGGGCTGTCCAGGAACTTTGGAACCACCAGCTATACCACTACTGAACTTCAAATATATCAAGTCCCCAATTTGGTTGAACTTGGTGAGCACGTAATCCAAATCTTCTTTCGTTAATGCCGAAGAAACGCATAACCTAGCTCTGGCACTAACCAAGGGAGTGGCAGGGTAACTCACAACGACCACAGCAATGCCCAAGTCGTACAACATTCTCGAAACAGCCGGCATTTTGGGAGGTAAGAATAGCAAAACTGGAATAACTGGCGAGTCGTCAGCACCATATACAATATATCCCAATTTTTTCAACCCCAATCTCAAGTACCGTGAGTTGAATGCAATTCTCTGTAATCTCTCTTGCCCTTCTCCGGGGTTAAGATTACCACTAATGACGTTTAATGAAGAAATTATTTGTCCCAAAACTGGTGGTGGGACGGATTCACTATATGAGTTGGTTTCATAGTCCAATTTCATTCTATCAATCAATACTTTGTCACCAGCTATATAACCTCCCGTAGCACCAAATGACTTGGTTAAAGTACCCATCAAGATGTCAACTCTAGCAGGGTCTACTGAAAAGTAGTCACAGATTCCTCTTCCCTCTGGGCCTAATGCGCCAATCGAGTGAGCTTCATCAACAAATAAATAGCAGTTGTATTTCTCTTTGAGGTCGATGATGTCAGGCAAATTACACATGTTACCCTCCATAGAGTATAAACCCTCTACTGCGATTATGATTTTTTTCCAGGGCCTGTGAGTCTTTGGCTGTCCTTGTGCAATTTGGTTACGAATTACTTGCTCCAAGTCCTTGATATCATTGTGCTTGTAGACCTTAACAATAGCCCCCGATAATCTAATACCAAATCTAATTGATGCATGGTTCAATTCATCTGAAATAATCAAAGTCTTTGAGTCGGCGACAGACGCAAAAAATGTTGCATTAGTTCCGTACCCTTGACTCACAATAATGGCATCCTCTTTTCCAACAAAGTCAGCAATAACTCGTTCACATTCACGGTGCAAGTCGGTAGTACCACAATATGACCTTGGAGAACATCCTGAGGTGCTATATTCGTCAACACATTTCAAGGCAAAGTCAGTACAAACACCACTAGATTGGGCAAATCCAAGGTAATTGTATGAGGACAAGTTGAGACATTCCTTCGAGGTACCATCGTACAAATAACCGGTTTTTCCATCTCTAATTCTGTTGAAGCATTTGATGTATCTGCCTGGTGCTCCGTAAATAGGTCTTGCGAAACAATCGTCGATTCTTGTCTTCAACCTACGCACGTAAAAACTCTCAAATCCATCGTACCATGGCGCGTATCCATCCTTTTCAACTAAATGTTCGTATTCTTGCGGTTTAAAAATCTTTCCGAAAAAGTCTCTAATATGTCCAATTATAATTAATATGAGGTAGTTCAAGTAAGTTAATAGGTAAATGACGTATGGAGGATCGTCATCAATTGGGATTGGTAAAGGCTCTCCAACAGGGTGTCTTGAAACATACAAGTAATCTCTCGACAGTTGTTTTCCATACTCAAGATTACTTCTGACTTCAATGGGTCGGTTATCTTCTGGTGCATTTGGAATAAACTTGGAGTAAGTTTTAGTGGTTGTCGACATATTTGGCGGGTGCAATCTATGGAATAAATAGGGCTTGCTAATCTGAACCTAAGTCGAGTGAAATCACGTATCTCTCTGAAAACTCTATCGTCCCTTTGGAGAAACAAATACGTGAGATATTAAAAAAATGAGCGAAATGTATGAGTAGGGTGCGATTAGTAAATTGGGGATGTATTCCTTACTGGAAAATGCGTCTTCTGTCTATAATTTTATATCCTGGTGATGAAGTGCCACACCGGTGTATTATAATACTTGCACAACTTTTCTGTAGTCTGAATGAGAAAGATTTCTAAACTTCTGTTGAGATTTTAACAAGAAAGGGAAAAAGAAAAAGAAAAGGAAAAAAAAAAAAAAAAATAAAAAATAGAAGGGTATGCGTTACGCGAAGATTACGTAAAAGAGAAAGAGAAGTATAGGGGAGGGAGGCAAAATATATCCGGAGTAAAAATTTATATAAGCAGATCTTACTATTGTGGTTTTGAACATTGTACACTACTAACTTTAGTTGACACGAAAAAAAAAGAGAAAGAATGGCTGCAAACTACACCAAGACCAATAGTATGAAGGACTTATTATTCATTTAATGGTCTTCATAGGCAGGCGACTGTGTTGAAATAAAAAATAGACTCGTAGGCAAACAAAACTTCTCTTTAAATAGGAGAAATCTAAGTTACACGAACTCAAGTTAGATACAATAAAGACCAACTCGTTGAAAAGGTCACCGTTTGTATTCACTAATCCAATTTCCAACTTTCAGGTAACGTCGACTAATTGTAATGGTGAATCGGGAGAGAGCAACGCCTGTGCCATTGATAGAATCAATAACAACTGCAACTGCAATGGTAATAGTTTCAAACTCTTAACCCTTAACACTCAGCCTGATGCATCATGCTTTTTATTTTGTTAATTTTTCTCATCCACAACAAGTTGGAATTAATGTCTTATCTCAAATTTGTAGCCTTGGGTTGACTCTCTGACACCAACAATCCTCTTCACTGATTCAATATCCTCCGATAGTAATTTCATGAATTTGTCCCTGGTTCGTTTGATCGTTTTTTTAAATTTATGTTTCTCACATTTCTTGTGGACGTCGAGTATGGTTGAATATACATCAACAAGAACCTTTGATGCCGCCAATTTAGCCTTAGCTTCAACTATATTGTCCTTAATATCAGCAAGCATCCTTGGTTCTCTCCTACCCAACTCACTATTTCGAAATTCAAAATCATAAATATTCTTGCGTACATTACACCATTTCAAACTTGGACCATCACTATGCCTTTCGCCAGAAGACTGCAATTCCTGGCTCACTTGCAATGACATAATACTGGCCAAAAACTTTTCAACCGCTTCACATGATACCAATTCTTTCCTACTCAACAACAATCTTCTGAAGGCTTCTTGACCTTGGTACTCATACTCAGTCATTAATGCACCAATTTCTTCAGTAAAGATGCCTTTTCCCGGACAATCACGAACTGAACTAATAAGTCTTTCGATTGAGCTCGTAATTTCAGACTCCTCTCGACGCAATTGCTCTAACTCATTCAAAAGTGGCTGATACTTATCCACTGTGTGTTCCAAATTTTGGAAAAAGTTTTCCACTACTATCCTAAATTCGTTCTGAAGCCTAATGTACCCTGATTCAACAGAATTCTCTTCGTTCAAAGGCCTCTGCTTGTAGGAGTCCAAACTTCCCACAGTGGTTGAATTAGGCAACATCGGCAAAGCATGACTGGGCGATTTAACAACAATTCTCAAATTCAGCTGCACCAAACATTCATTAGTATCCAATTGTTGCGCTGCGGCATTCAATTCAAGTAATAGCAGATATCCAGTCGCATTACAATTCTTCATAACATGCCAGCAGAGGCCGGACAACATCAATTCAACTGGCGTAACCGCGGTGGCATTGCATGTATTTAATCCGGGAAACACCAAATCTTCAATCACAATACAAGACTTGGTAAAACTCAGATGGTAGCTGGGCAGCATGTACAGAACTGACGCATTCTCAGTATCTTCTTCTTCTTCAGGATAATCATTGTGGAAGACACTTTTCAAGTGGTGGACAAATTTTACTACTTGACGCTTGAAATTTGCTGCCAAGTTAAATTTACTGGTGGACCTCTCGTATTCATGAGTGAAGCGGGTTCGGGAAGAGGTTCCGGAAGTAATAATATCAAATAATGTCATAACTTTTATTAATTTATGTAAATTATAACAGGTTGATATGGATATGTTTCTCTGCAGAAGAAATGAACAATCAAAATGGGGGAAGGGGTTTTTAGATTGATTTTTGCCTTTTATTTGTGGTAAAATGTACTGCCAAAATCAATCATCAAAAATCAAAATTTAAAGCTGATATTTCAAGTCAGTATTTGGCGAAACAGATTAATACATCATGGAATATGTACTTAGAATGCTGTGGTAGCCACTCCAACATTGAAACCTTGGTGTATTCAACCCCTCTTGTACTCCCTTATAATGAGATTGTAATTTGGTTGTAAAAAAATAAGACAACATGGTAGTGTATCTTTACCAGATTTTAGTACAGTAAACTAGAAAGGATCCAGGATCTCTCCAAAGTGGTATCTCAATCGAATAAGGCTGATATTTGAATATGCCGTCATATAACCAATGTTGATTACATTCAGAGCCTTTAGGAAGTCATTAGTGGGTCTGACCATTGAGTTGCAAAATGTCTCAACAATATGGTTTTTGCAACTTATTTTTGCAACTCTATCTAACTTACTTGAAGATACACCAGGGAGCTGAAAGTTGGTAAACTATCCATACACTACAGCCTCTATTCTGCCATATACTTGCCTATCGTCGGAAGTTCCAGGTTGTTCTTCTATAAGATATAAATGTTGGCTCATAAGTGTGGGGTAGGCGTAGCACAGTCTCATAAAAGCCACCAGCTTGATCTTTTATACATGGAAGCCAATCTACTGGATGATGGTTATCTAAGGAGAGATTGGCAATTGTTTTGCCGACTGAAAACGCATTGCTTAGTTTTCTACTCTATACACTTCATACGATCTATTTTCATCACCAATTAGCTTGAGCATGTAATCATACTTGTTCAACTCCCAGTCGATATGGCCAATGGATAAAACAGTCATATCGTTGAAAATGGGATCATTGGAAATAAAGTCATGGCAACGGTGCATCACTTGAGCATCTTCCATACAGGAGAAAGCTTCGTCTAGTATCAAAATCTCGGGATTCTTAATCACCGCCCTGAGAAACAACGCCAACTTTTGATTCGTCATGCTCAAATCGATGAAAGGCGAATCGCCATATTGCTCTAGTATATCTCTAAATTTGTTTAAAATGTAATCCACTCGATCCTGTGCTTCCTTGTCCAACTTGTCCAACTTTGCTCTGTAAGAAAAGTTTGAATTACCAATATCGCGAACCAATCCATTATATATGATGTCCTTCATTGTGCTGCTATGTTGCGGAACCAATGCATGCAACTCCGGCGAAGATATGCCAATTTGGTTATTGACATCAAAAAAAGTTACTCCACTTCCAGTCTTTCTCAACTTATTGTTTATTTTTAATACAGATCTCCAACTTTGCGGGTGGTCAGCAGTAATCAATGAGAGAATGGTAGTTTTTCCTGTTCCATTGTCGCCCAAAATTCTCCATTTGCTTCCTTTGGGGATCTTCCAGTTGAAGTCATTTAGGATTACCAAGTCCTTGTAAGCAACCCTGGCATTATCAAATTCTATGTGAAACGACTTTTCAGAATTTACCGCTTCGGGGCTTATCTTTACCAAAGACTTGGCTGCTAGATTTTTCTCACACAGTCTAAAATCATCATTTGTTGCAATTGCCTCTTTAAACTTTCTCGAGAAACCGGAATCATTTTGGCGCCCCATCAAGGCTATCCCTTCTTCATTCACGAAAGATACATTCTCAATCCATCCTGGTATATCATCCTGTGATCGCAATCCTAACACAATGCTAGTTCTGAGTGTATCATGTACCTTTTTCAAGGCTTGGCTTACTTTCTCCGTATTGGAAGGGTCAAGACCCAAAAATGGGTCATCAATTATCAACAACCTGGGTTTATTAACCAACGATTTTGCGATCCTGGCTCGTCTCATTTGACCATTACTCAACGAATTGATCCATTTCTTTTGAAGGTGCTTCAAGTTGAAAAGTGTCATTAGATCGTTGATGTACTCCAGATTGAAATGTTTATGCAGAGTATTATAGTTGTTCAATCCTGTGACAAAGTTGAATACTGAATTCGTGTCATCGCTCATTTCCAACGCTCCCTTGAAAGAGTAGGACTCATATCTAGCTGACATGTGCACTCTGTCAAGGCCAGATTTGTCGTTGAAATTTAGAAATTGAAGTTGAGTTGCAGGCTCGTTGATGAGTGGGTACGATCTCGAAAGAGGTGGAAACGATATATACTCTCCCGCTGTTATCTTCAACATAGTTGACTTGGACGGTCCAGTGATAGCCCAGGTGCTGGCGCTAGTACTGGTGTTGGTGCTGATGCTGATGCTGGTGTTGGTGCTGGCGCTGCTCTCGCCCGATTCACCATTACAATTAGTCGACGTTACCTGAAAGTTGGAAATTGGATTAGTGAATACAAACGGTGTCTTTTTCAATGAGTTGGTCTTGAATTTAGCATTCCTGATGGACAATAAGCAATTCCTGAGTATTCCAGACATGGGTGGGGCTGTTGTTGAGAGATTGGGCAGAGATATTGTTCGAAAAGATGCGAAATGTTTATATATAAACGGGCGACAAAGAATTTTAGGTTGCCAGTCCGCTAAGCCGAGCCACTAGAAATTACAATGTCTCCGCGAAACCGATCTTCTTTTTTCGGTGTTCGCTTTGACACCCCAGTCGGGTTTTGGTCTGAGTGGGGTGTACTCCGAAGTAGTCTTCAGCTTTGTTTCTGTTTCTAAGTGCAGCTTTAGTTTTCAACACATGTATCTAATTATACCATTTGGTAAATAAGCAGAGTCTCCTGTATTTGCAAAGCAGACACCATACAACTAGCTGTAGGTATGTAATGGTCTGTTTTGCTTCCTCTCTAGGTGTTTTTGGGTACAGATATAATTTGATCAAAAGTACACACCCTCTCCTTTCCTCTCTTCTTGTCGTCTATTTCAGAAAAACCACGACATATAGCTCCTTAGCTACAAACAGCAAAGCTTTCCGTACCAATGGATCCAATAGACACTGTATATGTCAAAGAAGAGGAGATATTCAACGAAAACTCTTCCAAAACCAGCCCAGAGAATGAAAGGGCCAGTAGGACAGAGGAAACGATAGATAACTTGGAACAAGAAATTGACAAAGCATATGGAGTAGTTGAGGCAAAGTTTCAAGATTTATGGAATGACAATGCAGACTTGCTTCAGAATAAATATCACTTGGACGAGCACAAGCAATCGTTAGTGAGACAGTTGAACACGTTGAAAGCAAATGTGAGTGAAAACAAAAACTTGCAAGCTGCTAGCGAAGGTTTTAGAGCATTCGAAGAACAATTGAAACAAGCAAATCTCGAGCAACGTTTACATGTAAACGAGTTGAAAAAGACTGCCACCAGTGCCCTTGATGCCTTGGATTCCCGATTGGAGATTGTTGAAAATAAGGCTAATGAGTATGTCACCCAGTTTACATCGTTTTTCTCCAATATAGTCTCAGTGAGACCCGAAACGGACCCAGAACAACCACAGGATGACAAAGAAGTGCTTTATAGCTCACCATTAAACAAATACACTCAGTATGGTACAACAAGGTATGAACGCGACTTGTTAAAGTTGCACACAACTGAGGCATACTTCACTGAGGATGGAAATGACGATCCGGAAGAATTAAAGCAGTTCAATTCAGATTCAAAAACCACTGAAATTGATAATCTTTTAAAGAAATACCCTGACACGTTGACTGAGATGATGAATGAGCTTGTGCCAGTAAGAGTTAGTTATAACACTTTTTGGTACAGGTATTTCAAAAACGAGGAGAAGTTGAAGGAATTAGATGAACAGAGGAAGAATTTACTCAGGAAGGAAAAGAATGGCGAGGAAACAACAGGTAAAACCAATGAAAAGGAAGAGGACGATTTTACTTGGGACGATGAGGATGAAGAAGAAACTCCTGTAAAGGTAGACAAGCCCAAGGAGTCTGAAACGGCCTCTAATACGAGATCGGAGAAGAGCAAAGTAAAAGTTGGTGATGGTGTCGACAAGAATGACAATGATGACGATGATGATGATGATGATGACTGGGAATAGTTACGTATCAGTGTATTAATTCTTATCTCTGTAATGTTAATATCCGAAAATGTAAAAAAAACTGCGCTCTTTTGTTTTTAAGGAAAAAACATTGGAAAACTGATAGGTTTTACTCCCCAACCACAACAAACCACTAATGAGCCATATGTACAATAGTGGCGACTTTGCTCCTCCTTACCTGATGAAGTCTCCGTCGATTAATCTGACACCCAGGCATTCAATGAGCGCTCCAATGAGTGGAGCCAGCACCTCATTGAACTCAACACAGAACAAATACCGCAGGAACGATAGGCAAGGCAGTCTACTGGTAGATACAAGTGGTGGCAAGCCTTTAAACTACGCTGTCCAGAAACCTACTCCAACTGCGTGGGCCTCTGCGTACGAGGATTATAACAAGCCTAGAAGGATATGGGTAAAGAAGCCACATGGGACACCAACCACAATATTAGCGCAAAAGGACGACTTAGTTGACGACTTAAAATCACAAATCATTCAAAAGTACCCAAACTCAATTGGACGCCTGGATGATGCTGCCAACTTGACCCTCAAATTGGTTGCACTGGATGTTGCCACCCCCGACAGTTCGCTGGAAGTGCAGTTGGAGAGAAATGGTCCAATTGATGATGACATAGAGTTAGAACCCGACCAGAACGCGTGGCAAGTACTAGATGTACATTTTCCGCAAGGTATGGGAATGAAAGATGCAATCATAATAGAGAGCTACAATCCTGAAGCCAGTGCACAGGACGGGCATATTTCAAGGGAATCCGATCAACGATTCGCTTATTCCAATCAGGAGAGACCACCCCTTGCCAAACCGCCAAATGATAAGCCTCAAATGAAGCATCCGCAACCACGTCAAGCGGACCTGCCAAAACTGGTTCTACCAGCGCAAAGTTCTTCCTCGCAGCAACTATACACGCAACAATCGCTGGCACAAGCCTTGAAACATTTTCCAGCACCCAAGTCAAGCTACACTAACGTGCAAGGTGCATCTTTTAAGGACAGATCAGTGTCGCCCTCAGTAACAGCTGCCAAAAATTCACCCGTTCCGCGAACCCCTTCCCACTCGAATTTTGCTCATTCACCAGTACAAAAGTCTAATCCACAAGCTGTGCTTCTTTTACCCAAAAACTTTTCCATAAATTCCAACTCAGGAGGTTCATCATCAAAGTCCAAGGTATTGCAAGAGGCTATAGGCACAAACATTCACGCCGGTGTTAATTCTGATGTCAAGGCGGAACCGGCGCTTCTGGAAGAGGTCTCAGACACAAGGGATAAAAAGGACGACGTTGGGTTTGACTCGTCTCCCTCGCCAGCTCTGAATGCAGAAGCGGCAAAAACTGACTTTTTGCCATCCTTAGCCAAGACCATGAATTCAGGGAAAAGCAACAGGCCTGAAAAAACGAGCGACCCTGCCCTAGATAAGGTTTTCCCTTCCATTTCGGTTCTCGTTGTTGAAGACAATGCCATCAATCAAGCTATTTTAGGTGCATTTTTGAGGAAGCGGAAGATTCACTACCAAATTGCAAAGAATGGCCAAGAAGCTATTGACAAGTGGAAAAAGGGGGGCTTTCATCTAGTTTTGATGGATATCCAGCTACCTGTGAAATCCGGTATAGAAGCCACAAAGGAAATACGACATTTGGAGAAGTTGAATAAGATTGGTGTATTTGATGACACGGAGTTGAGCAGATTGGCGTTGAATGAGTTACAACCCGATGATAAATTAGATACAAATACTTTTAGATCACCGGTGATTATTGTTGCCCTAACTGCTTCATCTAACTCATCTGTCGACAGGAAGAATGCTTTAACTGCCGGTTGCAATGACTACTTGACCAAGCCAGTAAACTTGGTGTGGCTTCAAAACAAAATTACAGAGTGGGGTTGTATGCAAGCATTGATTGATTTTGAAGGTTGGAAGGGTAAGAAGAACTGGAGCACTACATAGATTTGTAGGGACTTTACTGTAGTTGTAAACAAATTGACTTGATGGGGATAACTTTTGCAGGCGTTACTTCTGTAAGCTACACTTTTGTGCAGTCAAAGCACAACTGAAGGAAAAAAAAAAACCAAAAAAAAAAAAATCTTGAAAGGGTGAAGTCACAACTGGTTTAAGGACACAACTAGTCGGAGCAAAGATAACATGAGCGACGAAACTACCGTTGAGGGAACAAGTGGCACAATAACACAACAGGTGCTCCCATTGGAGGTCATAGATAGATCAATTGGAAAGAAGATCCGCATATTGATGACCAGTGATAAGGAATTTCGTGGAACACTAATAGGGTTCGACGACTACGTCAATATGGTCTTGGAAGATGTAACAGTTGTTTCTGAAGATAAGGGAAATAGCGGAAACAATGAGGTGGTGAAGAAGATGTTGTTAAACGGTGGCCAAGTGGCTATGATAATTCCCGACGTGGTGAATGCGTGAATCTATAATGGGACAGAAGTCGGTGAAATGCACTACCCTTTTGGTGATAGAAAGGTAGAGAAGGTTCTCCTACAATTTTAGTGTATAAGTATGTTAGTAATTAAAACAGTTTTGCCATCGGGACACATGATGGCGTTTATAAATATTCTATTTGAAATTTCTCTGTTGTGTTTGCAACTTTTTTGTTTTTCAATTTCCTCATACCCCATACCCAATGCAATTGACAATATCATTAGACTTTAGCGGAGATATCATAGCTGTCGACGTACCTGAGTCTTTATCTCTTGACGATTTCAAGGCTTACCTTCAAGCTGAAACGGGAGTCAGTCCTGATGAACAAACTTTGAAATTGAACGGAACGCCATTGAAGGCAAATAAGACGTTGACGGAATTGGGAATTGCCAACAATGATTTATTAGTCTTGTCTAAGGCAAGAGCTGTGCGGACACAGTTGCAGCCACTACAGCTGCAACCTGCACAAGCACCAGCACCTTCTACAAACATCCCGTCGAGCTCACAGATCAACGAACGGGTGGAAATGATTAGGCAACAGATTTTGTCAGATCCACAGGCTCTTGAAAATATCAGAATCACCCAACCTAGTCTCTACAATGCAATCAATAATGCTGAAAACTTTAGAAGCTTGATGATAGAACAAGTTAGGGAAGAGCAAAGAGACTCGTCGTCGTCTCAAACAGAGCTTCTTCGCTTACAGCAGGATCCCGACAACCCTGAAAACCAGGCACGTATCATGGAGTTGATTCAGCAAGAAGCGATTGAGGAGAATATGAAATTGGCGTGGGACATTAGTCCTGAAAGTTTCACTAGTGTAAACATGCTTCATCTCAAGTTGAAAATAAATGGCGTGGAACAGATTGCCTTGGTTGATACTGGAGCGGCTATGACAATCATTAGTCCTGATATAGCTGCGGAATGCGGTATTTCAAGGTTAATCGACAAAAGGTTCCAAGGTCAAGCTGTTGGTGTTGGTACTCAGACCATTGATGGAAAGATCCATAGTGTGCCACTCGAAATAAATGGGACGGGTGTTGAATTGCCTTGTTCTTTTTATGTCGTTGATACGTCAGTGGGTATCTTGTTTGGGTTAGACATGTTGAGAAGACATCGTTGTGTTGTTGATTTGACCAGAGATGTGCTAATCATTGGTGGTCAATTTGAGGCTAAATTCCTATCGGAATCAGAGATACCAAGAAAGACATTAGGTGGTAACATCTTTTCACGAGAGGCATAGAGCCTAGCTGAAAAAAAAAAAAAAAAAACTTTAAACTAATATAAATGCCCTACATGTATTGTAACTCTGAATCATTCTATTGTTCTGCTGTACCTATGGAATCACGTTTGACTCGTCCTCTTCGGTCTCTCTCTTTTTCAAAACCAAAGGCTTTCCAGTGATTCTAAAGTAGATGTCTTTAACATCATCAGTAGTTGACTCGAAATGAGAGCTGGCATCATAACTCTTGGACAAGTAGATACCGTTCTTTGTTCCGTCATAATTTGGCTCATATAACTCGGCAATACCCATCAAGGTGTCTAATCTTGGGCCTAACAATTTAAACGCAGGCTCCAACTCCACATGTGGCGCTTCTGTCTCAATTATCGTGGATACGATAGCGAGGAAGTGCCCCTTTGGGACAACATTATGCACATCTGATAAAACCGCGACATAAATATCATTCTTTCTACCAACTTGGTTCTGGGGAATGATGATTTGCAAGGAATCCAAATCTACGCTGGGAACTGGATGGTCCAACAAGCAAATTGCCCTGATTACTTTTTGCCCAGTCTTCTTTACGTACTCAGGGAAGTAAGTGGGGTCGGCAACCACAATGGGAGCCTTGGCTGTGCCCTCCTTGGTAACAACACCGGCAAACTTCTTATCTGAACCCTCACCTTCAAACAACACTTCGTCGATCGGTGTATCTAGCATATAAGTTCCTCCATAGATAGCTGATAATCTTGCAAATCCCTGTGGTAACTCACCCAATCCATACAACGGGTATATGTAAGGGGACTTTCCATATTTGGCAACCGACTGTGCGTATAACAAAATTCTCTCATACGTAGGTCTAGCAACTTCATTCAAGTAATCATCGTTTGACCAAAGTGCCATTGCATGCCCAATAAAGTCCTTTGTGCCGCTCTCCAATCCGAAGTAGTTGTAAATCTCATTCATCGTATTTTTGTCCAAGTCAAAGCCTTGATGGGTGGCCGAATCTTGTTCGTCATAGTTTTGAATGAATTCCAAAAATTTCTTCATTCTCCTCTTTTCAAAAATCCCCATCAATGAAGAGCTTAATGCCTCTTTGGCATTGGATGGAACCTTGGCAATTCTTCCACTTCTGTAAACATAACTTGCTGCAATCTGTTTGAATTCAATGTAACGAGTAACTTCAGTGTGCACCAATATGTTTGTCAATTCCCCATTTGCCATAAGGAATTTCGGGATCAAGTCTACACACCAGTCTCTGTCTCTTCCTTTCAACTCAGGTCTTTGTGCTGAAGGTTTGAATTTGCCATACAATTGCGACAAGTTAAGGGATGCCGACTCACCCCCGTAGAAATCTTGTCTGTCGATATGCAACACCTTCTTTCCTTCAACTGATAAAAGACCCGATAAGATGCATTCGGTCAATCCTGTTCCCAAGACAATAACGTCGTAGTTTTCGTCCATTGTAGTGAAGTAGTGATGCTGGTTGATAAAAGAAAGCAATTAAAGTAAAGCAACAACCACACAAAGGAGAAAGAAAAAAAAAGGAAAAAGAAGTTCGGTGACAACAACAAAAACTAAACTTTAGAAAAGTTACACAAAGAGGAAATGGATGGAGCAAATGTTTTTTCAAAGCATTTTATCTCACAAGCTTACATAACATACACACAATTTCATAAAGCTCATTCAGCTGTTACTTCCTATACAATATTGTGAAAACTGTTGGTACCCCTTTCGAATCCTGCTTTGACTATTTTGCTAATTTCCTTAGGATCTTTGGTAATTTTCGTAAAGATTTCGTAACCATCTTTGGTGATTAAAACGTCATCTTCTATTCTCACACCGCCCACATACCAGTACTTATCCAAGATATCCTTGTTGATGTATTTGTTCCTTGATGGATCATTCAAAGTCTCCTCTAATAAGAAAGGGGAAAAATAGCACCCTGGTTCATTGGTTACAACCATGTTTGGTTCAAGCTTTCTCCTAATTCTCAAATAGCACAAAAGAGGGTCGGGGTCAGAGTAGTTGGCATACCCAGCAGTGTCATGTGTATCCATACCCAACATATGACCCAAACCATGGGGGAAAAATCTTGCACTTGCTTTGGCATTGAAAATTTCGTCCACAGAATACTCCTCTTTGAAGATGCCTAATTGCTGAAACCCTTCAATCAATACACGATGTGCTTTGAGATGAAGGTCTTCCCAGTCAACACCTGGTTTCATCGACTTGTAAACCTCCTCTTGCATCTTCAAAACAAGATTATAGATATCCAAATGTTCTTTTGTCCACTCTCCATTCACAGGGAAGCATCTAGTAACGTCACTAGCGTAACAGTCCCATTCTGCTCCAGCATCAATCAAAACAGACCGTTTGTCGGGAGTTATATCGCCATCATTTTTGACCCAATGCAACGTGGAACATGTCTCTCCACTACAACATATAGGATCGTACGATTGATTTTTAGATCCCTGACGTAACGCATGATACATAAATTCAGCATGAATATGAGTCTCCTTGGTCTCAATGGGCAAGGCTGACATAACTGCAAGGTGACAATTGTCGGTTATCTTGGCAGCGTGTCTCATCAATTCAACCTCATACTCGTCTTTAAACGCACGGGCTTCATCTAGAGCGTAAAAAAAGTCCGCATCCTTCTCAACTAAAAACGAACTGTAGTCGAGGTTGAATTTGTTAATGTCAGTTGTGTATGCCCTATTTTTCAAGCTCTTTAAGTCACCTGCAACGTCGGCAGCGTACTTGATTTCATCTGCGTCAAACTTTTTTGCAGCCTCTTCCTTAGACAATGGTAACCCCGACCACATAATATCCTCTTTGTCCACATTGGGCAAGTAAATAGTCAATTTGTCCTTTTCACTTTCATACAAAACATGCGATCCTGGAATGTTGTTCCCTGTCAAGTAAAAAAAGTATCTATTTTGTCTAAATGGTCTTGTTTGGTCGCAATATTTGTACAACTCCAAGTCTTCCCCACTTATAAAAAATGACACAGTTTGGGCTTTGGTGGAGTTTTTCTTCTTCAAATGAGAAAGCACATTTTGAGCATGCTTTTTTGCTGGGTATTTCTTACCCTCGAGTGATTTTGGTCCGTCTGACATTGTTAATTGGGCTGTATTACTTTACTCTTCTCTTGGTAGGATCTTTTTGAGGAGAAAGTGGAAATGAGAAATGAAAAAAAATAAAGAATACAATAAAAACAAAAATAAAAAATAACGCCATATAAACTTTTAAAGCCGTAGATGAAGTTTTTTATATGCAGTCTTTGGGCACGTGACTCTTTCTCTCTCTTTCTCTCTCTGGGAAAAGAAAAAAAGATTGCCTCCAACAAAGTTGCCACTGATCTTTCATACTAAGTTTCATTCACTACACTCTATATCATGGAAAGATTACAAAGATTATTAGGCCAGGGAGCTGGTCTCGGTGGGGCAGCACCACCTCAAACAGATGGGCCTGCAATTGACAACTCTGAAACCGTTTATATTTCCTCACTCGCCTTACTTAAGATGTTGAAGCATGGAAGAGCCGGTGTCCCAATGGAAGTGATGGGATTGATGTTGGGCGAGTTTGTTGATGATTTTACAATACAGGTTTATGATGTTTTTGCTATGCCTCAATCGGGTACTGGTGTTTCGGTTGAAGCTGTGGATGACGTGTTTCAAACCAAGATGATGGATATGCTCAGACAAACGGGAAGAGATCAATCAGTGGTAGGTTGGTACCATTCGCATCCCGGTTTCGGCTGCTGGTTATCCTCGGTTGATGTAAATACACAGCAGTCATTTGAACAATTGAATAAGAGAGCTGTTGCTGTTGTCATAGATCCTATTCAATCAGTGAAGGGTAAAGTCGTTATTGATGCATTCAGAACCATAGACACCACAACGTTGATGATGGGCCAAGAGCCACGTCAATCCACGTCCAATGTTGGTCACTTGAATAAGCCATCAATCCAAGCATTAATCCACGGATTGAACCGTCACTATTACTCGTTGAATATTGACTACCACAAGACTACAAATGATACAAATATGTTGCTCAATTTGCACAAGAAGAATTGGCAATCAGGATTGAATCTCACGGACTATAACCACAATGAGATTGAAAATTTGGAGAGCACCGAGAAGATGGTAAATATAGCCAAGTTGTACAGTCAGAGAGTCAGTGAAGAAAAAGAGTTGACTGAGGAGCAATTAAAGACGAGATATGTTGGTAAGCAGGATCCAAAGAAACACTTGTCGGATACGGCTGAGAAATTAATAGACGACAACATCAAGGTGCTTCTAACTGGTGGAGTTGATTCGTTGGCTATTCGATAGATTATGTACAGTGGTGTAGTTAAAAAATGAACGATATAGAACGAAAGTTAATTATTTCTTTCAACTTTCCAATATTGTGTATGACTTGGTGATAACATCTGGGAACCGGTTCAATACCATTCCCAACTGCGTCCCTTTCAAAAAATGGTCAAAAATGATGACATATGCAGCAACTTTGTATTTAATGGTGGAGCCCTGTTGATCGGATGCATTCAAGTATACTTTTAATCGCTTTATGGCGTTTTCGAATGCATCGCACTGGGTTGCATAAAATACCTTCAAATGCTTACTACTATATGGCTCAAAAAGTGATGGATGTCTTACGGAGAAACTATTCCATTTCGGTATTTGCTGCTTTATTTCATACAACTCTAATGCATTGTTGATAGCAAAAAGCTGATAAAACGTCTCATCTTTAAGCTCTTCCACCAACAAACACGATATCCATGAATCAAAAAGGACTGTATCGGCAAATTCATTTATAATGCTTATAGTTTCCGACTCTATGTTGTTTACTGTAATTGTCTTTGCGATCTGCTCCCAGTTTTCGATTGTTCTAATTGATCCATCGTTTATCAAGACAGGAAGAAAATTTGATGGCGACCCCCGGAATGGAACACGAGTTATACCACTTGCATTCTTGCTCACTGTATCCGGTAGTCCGAACCCGTTCTTTTTAGCTAATATAATCAACGTGAATAGTGAAATTGGGTCTGTAGGTAAGATATGTTGACCTTGTTTGAAAGTGTTGTACACGCCTAGTATAAGCGGGGTTGACGGAGATTTCAACGAAAACGAATACAATCCTTCAGGTGAAATAGCATCATCCTCATTCTCATAAGCCTTTAGCGGCACGGAGTCGAATATCTTCTGGATTGGGCGTGGGACAGCAATCATTGTTGATCGAAGAATGAGAGATGAAATTTCGATTTTTACAAAAAAATTTACGAATTCTAAACTGCCATTTTTTCTCATTTCAAATTACTTGAACATTAAAGCTAAACAGGAACGTTACACAACTTCTAAGTATAGTGCATCAAAGGTCATCAGCAGGCACTAAATCTATAGCCATATCATACCACGTAGTGTCGGCGAATTTACATTCACTCTCACCCAAATTGTTGAAGCCAATCTTTTCATAAAAGGGAATCAATTCCTTATGCGCAATAAGAACGACTTGGTCTCCCATATCTTGGTTAGACAATTTTTGAATATAATCGTGCAATAACAACGCAGCCAAGTTTTTTCCTCTCCATTCAGGCAAAACTACAACTGAATGTATTCCAATGTACCTCGATGACTCGCAATGGCCAGACCCCTTGGTATCTTTCGATGGTAATTCCATGCAAGCTTCAGTAATTCTAGAGCCGTCTATCTTTGTAGCTATAATGTGTCCAATCAAGGTTTCCTTAACAACAGATGACCTTTCCGGGAATTCTTCATCATCGGACTCGCCATCGTTACTCTTACCCGAACCTCGTTTTTCTTCAGCATCGTGTTTCTCTTGAAGTGATTTAGCTACATCTGGTAGATTGATGTAGTTGTATTTATACTCGTATTCTCTAATGAATAATCCTGAACACAATTCTGGTGCCACGGTTAGTCTATATTTAAATTTGGCATCCGTGCATCTCTCTTCTTCTGGGAACCCTTTACTTTCCAACTCTATACACTGATCGATATCTTCGATAGTCAATGGTCTTATTGACAAGTTAGGGGGGAAATCGGACATGGTATTTTCTCTTTGATAGTGGAATGACTTGTGTCTATGACCAATTAATTTATTTTTTCTTTAGTAATTTTTCTTTTTTTTGTTCTTTTTCTCTTTTTCCTCTTCAAATTTTACAGAGAGAACTTTATCACACGACTGGTTTTTATTTCATACATTCTATAAAAACCTATTCAAGAAGACTGTTTGGAATGTCCTCGTTTGTGTCTTCATTCACCAATAAGCCTTTGTTAACCTCCCATAAGTGAACAATATTATCATCGGCAACTGATCCAATAGTCCACTCCTTGAACGGACACCAACTCAAGTCTGTAACACCAGCTGTATGACCAGCATGAATCATAAATAGCTCTGGACATCCATCTTCGGCATCTTCTTGTTGCTGCTCCTCGCCGACTTTAAACAAGTCCCATAAGATCAATCTTCTATCCAGTCCACCCGAAGCTAATATTCCATCTTTGTGTGGTGAAAACTCCATACATGTTATACCCTCGGTATGACCCATTAAGGTGTGCAACAACCCTGATGTACCTTTACTGTTTAATTTCCGTAAGTCCAACAAGTTTATACTTGCGTTTGAGTTGCCTATAGCGAGCAAGTTTTGCGAAAATGGTGAAAAGGTCAACGAATTTATACCTGAAGATCCTTTTGAATAGTATTTTGAGGCAACAGTCTTGGCTCTAGTATCGTAGATGTAGGTGTATTGGTCTTCGGAAACTGATGCAAATATGTTGCCATTAAAGTGGTGCCATTTGGCATCGTTGACAATGTCTCCCAGTGTGTCACTCTTGAATAATAATTCATTGTCCTTGTTTGTATCGCTAACGCAAACTAGTCTGTCATCAGCGGCTGTCAACAACACCCCCTTGTCAATAGGATTCCACGAGAGACCGTATCCGTTTTCTGAATGAGGGCTGAAATGTGAATAGCTTCCGCTTTCGCCACTATCCAAACGGTACAAGTCAACTTCTCCCGATCCGTTTATGGAGCCAACTATATTAGGGTCTTGTGGCATGTACCTTGCTCTGCATATCTCCTGATTATTGGTAAACTTTTGAACAATCTTGATTCTCGAATTGACCTTCTGCTCGCCGTCTGCAGAAAGGTGAGTTTCAGCAACCTTCAAATAGTTCTGGTCATTCCCTGATGTATGTGTCCCAAGAAGAAGCTTTGTGTTGATGATGCCGTCTTCAGTTGTGTAGTCTGGAAGCCATTGTATGGTTAGTGATGGCCATGTCAATGCTGTTTCACTGACAAATTCATACATATACCTACAGTTCTTTCTCCATAGTTGATACTCCTCCTTGATGGATAATTCGCGTTGTTCTCCGTTGTTTTCCGTGTCTGACATACTTTCCGGCGTTGAATTGAGTCAATGGTGGTCGAAGAACGTATGTTTCGCGTTTCCTTGTGGATGTTTCTTTTTTTGTTTTGTTCTTTTGTTCTTTTTTTTTTTTCTTTCAGTTCAATCCTTTGTCACATCTTTCAGGTGTGCCACGCGGCAGTGAGATGTCGCAAATTCTCGACATGCGCCAAACAATGGGACTGCAGGTGGTAAAAGCTTTGACGAACAGATCTTATCTCTAAGTCAGCTAGAACACCTATGACAAAAGATACCTAAGTCCATTGATGACATACTAATTTTCCCAAAGCGGATCTGTGTCCTAGCTCTCCTCCTTTTCTTTCTCCATCTCTCCCTTCTCCTGTCTGGGGTAGTGTTCGCCGATAACGCATAAAATTCGGTGCACAGGAAAAAAAGAAAATACGACAAATCTCCGAAAACTCAAAAACAATTCTCCTCACGCTAACGGAATGGACCCTAGCCACATGAACACCAACTATAACAACCACTTTTCGGAGACTTTGGCATATCACAGTGTTTCAGAAGACTCGCCTGCAAAAACGGCCTCGGACCACAACCCAAACTCCGTATCATCATTTGAATCGCAATTAGATCTTTCCCCTGAGGGGTACATCAACTCCATCAATGAGGAGATTTATGCTGCACACATGAATCCTGTAGTAGATCAGATGCGATTGAATAACTTTGCTAGTGGCATTTCTAATCAAGCCACTGAAAACTCCCTGACAGGCAATATTGGCGGTGAGGTTGAAAGTACCCTTGGAAGTCAGGCCATTTCCAAGAGCAAAAGAGCGTGTGATTCATGCAGTATCAGAAAGGTCAAGTGCGACTTAAAGGTGCCTTGCAGTAGATGTGTAACGCATGGCTTGGATTGTACAAACAACCGAGTAAAGAAAAAATGTGGTCCAAAGAGAATTCATGACAAGACGAGAGATGCAATTAAAAAGTTGGCTATAAGCAGTGCTTTGGAAAGCAATCAATTTGTTCCTGTGATTAGCTTGGACAGGCTTCTACCTTGTCTCAATGTTTACCAGGTTTGGTATTATGGAATTTGGCCAGTTCTATCAGTTGCCGAGTTGATTTCACGAGCTAGTGATCCTTCGGTGTACGCATTGAGTTGTGCAGTCTGTGCCACTATATCAAGCCAAGTGCGGTTCATGACCAATCAAAAACTCATCCCAAAAGGCATTCTTGATGTGGATTTTGCATCGGAAGCAATTCGAGTAAAGAAAGCTGAACCAACAGTAGAGAGTGTTTTGACGTCGTTTTTTCTCCATATTGCATTATCCAATGCCGGGGCTAGTCCAACTGGTATATGCTATTTGCGTGAGGCGATTACGCTTGCACAGATTATGGGGCTAGATAGGACCGATACGTATTCACGATCTCCTGCTGAAACTCATAGAATGAGAAAGATATACTACCTATTAGTGGTCACAGAAAGATTTGTGTGTCTAGAGCAGTCCGTTCCAGTTATACTAGAACCGTCAGTGCCGCTCCCTTCACTTGATGATGAAGAATATTCTATTTTGATTGGTGGGTTTAGAGAATTGGTTAAAATATTTGCCATTCCCAACAAGTCCATTTTTGACCAGTTCAGAGCGATAAAGAATAACCCACATTCTTTCCGTTTGATATCAACAATACAGAATCAGCTACAGCAGATCACTATACTAGAAGCAGCACCTGACATTCAAAAGGCCAATATCTTGTTGAGCAAGTATTGGATGATGATCTTGACCTGGGATGTTGCTAGTGCAAACAATATGATTAACAATGCGGAGTTTTGTTTATCAAACGAGTTCCCCATAGCTATTGCCAAAGAATTTTGTGAGAAGACGGACGGCCTACCCCTAGCCTCATATGAGTTCAACGGTCCCGGTGTATGCGTTAAGCTTGAGGTGATTGCAAAGGCTTTAATGAAAGCGGTAAACATAACAAGAAACACGACTGGTTATGAGTATGTGCAACGCATCTTTGACTTGCTAACGTTGTTAAGGAACGATGTGCGGCTTTCAATAACTCAGTTTCAAGCGTTGGAGATTACGTTAAATGAGATGGAATCGATGTTGCAGTTTAGGGGAGAAAAAGTAGGCTACATCACAAACATTGACACATTTGATGATGTAATTGGCCTGAATGTATACGGAGGGCTAAGGTCACAAGAATAAAGAAATTGCCTGTTACGAACCGACGCGTTATATTTGTACTAGCGTGGATAGCAACGCTGGAATCCAAAGGGAGGGAGGGAGGAAGAGGGAGAGGGAGAGGGAGAGAAGGGAGAGAAGGGAGAAGGTGTGTATACTAGATAAAACACAGCCAAAACGCAAAGTTTGCCAAGAATAGTTGACGGCTTATTGTTTGCTCAAGGTTTAAACCAAGTTAAAGCAGTCCCGGTTGCCCGTTAGGGGTGGAATAGTCGGTATCAAATGGGAGTAGAACAAGAAAAAAAAATTAAGAAAAAAAGAGAAAAAGAAAAGGTGAGAAAAAAAGAAAACAAATCCCGCACTTTTCAACACGCGACAGAAAATGGAGCCATTTGCCCTGTGAGCCAAGGAAGCACAGCAAGCTTCAAAATGAGCATCTAGAATCAAGTCATGCCTGATCGCTGTACCATGTGGCTATTTTTGAGCTCCCTTTTTTAGAATAGATATGTAGGTGACAATATTGGTAAACAAAGACGAGTTTTATACAACCGGTGCAATAGAAAAATATTTAAGAACCGCGATCGGCACTAAATCGCTTGTAAATGCTTAAATTTTTGTACAATCATGCATCCTGCAAGATGGGTTAAAATTTATAACATGCATACGGCAATATTATTTTCTACACTATGGGATGCATTTTATATCACTCTGCCCAATTAGGAACAAAGCGGTTGCAAAATTTCAGAGATTTACCTACCGATTGCTAGAGGGAAAAGACCAAGCACTCATAACACGATGGAATACTTTGGATTCAAAAGGGTATTTAAAGGAAAGCAATTGTCAGTTTAGAATTCAAGGGATTGATTGGAAGTTAGGTTTGACCTTTTTATATTAACAAAAACAACTAGAAAGCAATGTCACATAGAACAGATTCAGAAACAATTGATAATGAGAGCTTGGACTCAGAAAAACCAAGAGAGTACGGTGATGCATTACAAGCACAACCAGTAAGCAGCAACGTTCACCGAACCGAAAGTCGTATTTCAAAAGTGCTTTCTCACTTGGGTTCACATGAAGATAATTCGGAACTAGAAAGGTTGGTGACCAACAACGCTGGTGTTGAAAGAATAAAGACCGAGTTGCAAGAACGTGCAGGTCAATTGGGTCCTTTGGAAGAGCCATTGGATGTCAAGTTGGTAGAAACACACCCAGACCCACAGTCTGACTATAATGAGAATGATCCTTGGAAGTACCCTATTGACTCGGACACGGGGTTAAGGATAGTTGAGTGGATAGATGGCGATAAGTCTAACCCAATTAATTGGGGTAGTGGCATAAAGTGGGTGTACACGGGGATTTTGGGATCGATTTGTTTTGTTGTTGCCCTTGGTTCTGCTATTGTTACTGGTGATATGGATCGTCCTGCTGCTTACTTTGGTGTATCGCAGGAAGTCATCATTTTAGCATCAGTTACCATGTTTGTATTGGGTTTCGGTTTCGGTCCTTTGGTGTTTGCCCCCATGTCTGAAGAAGTTGGAAGAAAGCCTATTTATGCGGTAACACTTTTTGTTGCCTTGATATTTATTGTCCCCTGTGGTGCCGCAAAAAATATTGGAACTTTAATTGTTTGTCGTTTGATTGATGGATTATCTTTTAGTGCCCCCATGACTTTGATTGGAGGTTCATTGGCAGATATGTGGATTGGTTCGGAAAGAGGTGTTGCTATGGCCATCTTTTCAGCCGCTCCATTCTTGGGTCCCGTTTGTGGTCCAATC